CACAAAGGCAAGCTTCATGAGCTCTTTCTTAAAACTACTCATAGCATAATCTTTCATTTCTTTCTCATATGCAGTATGCACATGTCTATACTGACCAGTTGTATTGTATTAAATTAATTATCATTGAGGAGTGACGTACATGTACAGACAGACAGATCACAGTGGTGACTCACTCATGCTCACCACAATTACATTATAATATTTACCAGTTCTTTCCATTCCATTTTGTTTATATTTAACAACCTACAGTCACTGGTACCCCCTCCACCCACAACTAGTAGGTGTGGTCCTGAGCTACAGTTGATCAATACACTGGAATGAGCAGATATCTCCTCAGGCCATTGTACTGATCTTCCAGGATTAGAAAACTTTGTACATTTCTAAAAAGTCAATTTCCATAAATCATACCCACACAAAATCATAATACACTCACCACTGATGTATCAGTAAATTCAAATACATATACATCATTACTGTATCTATAACCATCACAACCACCAAACAATATAGCAGTGGTATTAGTTATTGATGTTAAAGTGAAGACAGCAATAGGAGGTGGTCTGTCTCCAGTGACAGTTGGTGAAGTCCATTCACCTAAAAATAAGAAAAACAATATGAACACACACACACACTGTGAATTAATCATATTGGACAATTGGTTGTACATGTACATGTAACAGGGAGAAAATTTGGCACTTGAAATTGCAGCCATTGGAAAAATGAAGCTTCAACAAAACTTTTATACAAAGCCATGGATACAGTAGGTTACCATTGCCAAGAGAAGGAGTGAGGCATGGGGCAGGAACAAACCTTAACCACATTCTACCACTGACTGGGGAGAACCTTGTACAGTATTTAATTACAAACTTTGAAATATTTATAATTTTATAACTATTAGAACACAAGAGATAGATACATTAGAACATAGTCTAGTGTGGATCAGACAAAACAGGGACAGTTGGGATACCACAATAACATTTTAACCTGTCACATCCAGTTCTCAATACTGGACTGTCTGATTCCTCCCTAGCAAACCAATTTTAAATAATATGGAAACCCCTCAGTCTGTTAATAGTGACTAGTAAGTCAATGGGTATGTTAATCTCTGAGGAGACTGGTACTTACAATCAAGGTGCAAGCCCAGCACTGTAGGCTACAGTTATAGTAGTTGGGTACTAAGATGCAACCAGGAGAATTATGATGACATACACACATATAATAAGTACATCAATTTAATTACTGTATAAACTACATTTATAAACCTAATAAACTGACCAGTTTTTAATCTGTACATATGTATTTCATTGCAATATTGATAATCATCATCTTTACTGTACTGGGCAGCAGGCTGTGGTGGGGTAGTATTAGAAGATGATCCCCACCCTCCTATTACTACAAGATAGTCCTCATCATTTGCTTTTATTGCTATCATGCTGGAGTAGCACTTCATCATAGGACCATGATGAGATGTAGTAGGAGAGAGTTCCTTCCAATTGAAGGTATCAACATTAAAACTGTATAAAATATTATATAATATTCATCAGTAACTATTATGTTTACCTGTACAAACTATTATGACAACAGTTATCATGACCACAAGCTCCTCCAAAAAAGAATATTTCATTTCTAATGACAGCAGCAGCATAGCCAATGACACCAAGTGGAGGGTCACCAGTGGTAGGCTTTTGTACCCACTCACCAGTTGGTAGGTGACATACCTCCACTACAGAACACATTGATTTCTTCTTCTCATTATTGTGTACTTCAGGGAGATCAGGCTGGCCCCCACCCCACATGTACAGGTAGTCTCCTACCTGTACTGTAGAGTGAGCCCTCCTCTCCACTGGTTGATAGACTATAGATAACAAGAGGACACAGTAATATAGTGAATAGTTATGATAAGCAGAGGATACAGAGGAGTAAAGTAAGGGAGAGAATAAGAAAGAAAGAGATGTAAAGAGAAGAAATTGGGAATACAGATACTGACTTGTCTCATTCCTTTTCCAAGACATTTTTTACTAGCCAGCACCCCCACATCTATACCGTATTTACTCTTATTAAAAATTGGTATCAAAAATAAATTTCCAATCATTCTTTTTCAGTATTTTTTCAGTGTTCATTATTTCAAAGATTATCATTGTAAAGATAGCAAAATATTCATACTAAATATGGAAATTTATATTAAACTAAAAAGGTAGCAATAAAATAGCATATCACACCTAATAATAACAACAACAATGACAACAACAACAATAATAATAATAATACTAGTAATAGTTCCTAATTCCACATCATGGCAAGGCTTCATATATGACAATGTATTTGGCCGATTATTCACTCAAATCTGTAGCAATTTTAAAGATTTTTTTTTTTTAATATATAGGCTGCCCACGTGATCTGCCACGTTGGCCTTAAAATTTGCTCGAATCTAAAGAAGAAGATGGCTAACGAGCTGCTTATTATTCGCCCTGAGCTCGTTAGCATGGCTGTAGCTGGTCCTGTTTCGTTTCTACTATGGTTGCGGAGGATGTTTTACATCTTTGT